ACCTATTCACAATAGATGTGTGTGTGTGTGTGTGTGTGTGTGTGTGTGTGTGTGTGTAAAGACCTATAGAATTGGGTTTGTGTCCTAATAAACCTAACCAAGGAAATAAAATACCTCTACAATGAAAACTTTAGGCTCTTGAGGAAAGAAACCGAGGAAGACACTAGATGATAGAAAGACTTCCCATGCTCATGGATTGGAAGAATAAATACTGTGAAAATGACCATCCTACCAAAAATCTACAGATTTGATGTAATTCCCATCAAAATTCTCATGCAATTTTTCATAAAAATTGAAAAAAAAATCTGAAAATTCACATGGAAACCCAAAAGACCCAGGATAGTCAGAGCAATCATGGAAAAAAGACTACTCTGGCAACACCATACCTGATTTAAAGTTGTACTATAGAGCCATAGTTATAAAAACATCATGGTGCTGGAACAAAACCAAATGTAGAGATAAGTGGAGAACAGAGGACCCAGAGGGAATCCACGTAACTACAGCTACCTGATTTTTGACAAAACTGCAAAAAATACACACTGGGGAAAAAGACGGCTTCTTGAGCAAATGGTGCTGGGAACATCATATACCAACACATAGAAGAATGAAATGACAGCTTCACCTCTCATGCTGCAGAACTCAACTCCAAAAAGGTCAAGAATCTCAGCATAACCCGAAACCCAGAACCACCAGAGGAAAAGTAGGGAGTGTATTCCTACATATTGGCATAGGTAAAGACTTAGACACACTCTCGACAAATGACTTTTGCTTAACCTTGCAATCAAAAAGTTAATCTTATGTTTTGAGATCATTTGGTACTACCTTAGCTTGCTTATAATGTAAAACACACCTACTAGGCTGTAGGTTCCTATCGTGACCTGGGCTTAACCCCTTGTGACTCTTCCCTTGACCCAGAACAATGCATGAATGGGTATAGACATTAAGCAACTACTGTACACAGTGGGTTATCCCATCTGTGTTGCACACTACACGTGGGATTGGATTGATAACATATTTGTGGTTGTGTATGATGTTCTAGGGGAATAGAGGTCAGGAAGGGCAAAATCCTCTAATAAGGGTCCATTTTCCCTTTCCCATTTCATGCTGGATATACCATTTCAATTACATAAAAAGTGAGCCCTGGTTCAGCAGAGAGTGCCGGAGTCCAGCTCCAGCTGAGTCTGGGGCCAAAAGGGTGAAGGTAGCTGTGGCAGCAGAAATGACTATAACAGAAACCACAGCTGCAGTTCTAGTAGAGGCTGTTGACTGACCCACTGTTGACCCGAATATCTCCTTTTTCTTTTTTCTCTGAAAAAGCAGCCTTCTACAACCTTTATTTATAATTAGTAAGCTTACAGTATTAGTAAAGCATCAGTCCATAAATCAAACCATGAGTTTGCACAATATTTCTCAGTGTACAATATTTTTCAATAATCACAGTAAAAGGAAAGTACAAAGTTCAATGATTAGCCTTTTCTTAACATAGCCAAGCAATG